CCTTGATATTATGTAAAAAATTAAAATCCAATTCGGCTTTGTTCAAACGAAGAGTAATCTTTTCATATTTCCTTAATAAAGAAACTGGTAATCTTCTTGAACTGAAATCCTTGATAATAGAACCAAATGGACGTAAGTTGACAAAAAATACAACGCATTTTAAAAATAACACAAAAGATTTAATGGAAGACATGTTTCGGGTTACCTTCAACCCATCATCAGTTAACAAAAAAACACAACAGAAATGAACCAAATACTTTTCATGTGAACTATATATATATAGGTAATTATTATGCTGAATATTAAATAGATAGATTGATTTTTTTGACAATAAGTTTGACCAACTATAGTAAGTCTGAAATCTGGACTAAATGTAGCTAATTATTATTCTGAATATATAATTGAATACCATGATTTGTTAACCAAAGGTTGGTAAAGCAATAGTAAGTCTGTAATATGGACCAAGTGTAGCTAATTATTATGTAGAATATATAATCAGGTACATTGATTTGTTTGACAAAAGGTTGTGAAGCTATAGTTAAATGCAAGGTAACAAGTGCTTGCATAATAACTATTGCTTATGTGTATATTTAAATAAGCTTTAAGTTTAACATGTTTAATTTGCAAATTAAGATCAGGATTGTTCCATTTTACGTAAAGGGATTCTTTGATTTTCAATTTGATTTCATTGTTATCAATATCCAATATAGAGAAACATTTCTTATCAGACAACCTTTTACATTTACTGTTTGCGTTAAGGTGTCTAAGTACGTGTGAATTTTTATCCTTTCCAAGATGTTCACCAATCCTCGTAAGTAATCTACGGCCTGTATAGCCTATATAACTGGAATTACATCCAGCACATTTAAATTTATATACTACTGAAGATCGGGATTCATTGGGGATAGTATCTTTAGTACTAAAGAACTGACTGATTTTAGTGGTACTAAAATTAACGAGATTCGCAACCTTAACTTAAAAAATAAAGTCATGGTTTCTTTTGACGTTGAAAGTCATTCCGCTCAAAGAAACGATTGAACTTGCTGCTAACTCAATTTATAGTCATAACAATGAATTAAAAATCACCAAGAATAACTTAATCAAATTATTGACCATTGCTACTTCAGGCACTCATTTTTTGTTTAAAGATACATACTATGAACAAATTGATGGAGTTAGTATGGGTTCTCCCGTGGCCCCTATTTTAGCAAACTTATTTATGGGATTCCAAGAGAAACAATGGCTCAATGATTGCAAATGTCCTGATGTACTTTATTATCGCAGATATGTAGACGACACGTTTTGTGTGTTTAATAATCAAAATGGAGCTGACAAGTTTTTTAAGTTCATAAACAATAGACATTTCTATCAAGTTTACAATGGAAAAAGAGAATGACAACAAACTTTTTTGGATGTACTCATACATAAACAGGATGATAAATTGAAAACATCTGTTTTCAGAAAATCCACCTTCAGTGGTCTATTGTTAGGTTTTGTTAGCTACTGTCCTTTTAATTACAAATTAAGATTAGTCAACAAACTTGTTGATAGAATGTATAAGCTAAATAACACGTGGCTTGGCCTACATATGATCTTTGTGACTTGAAAAATATCTTACTACGAAATGGTTACCCAATTCACATTGTTGACAAGTCTATTGAAAACTATCTAGATAACACAATCTCTGATATTACAAAGAAAACTGTTAATGATGACAATGTTAAAACACTCTTTGTTAAACTTCCATATATTGGCATATTTTCTGACAACATGAAATGCAGAATCATGGATCTTGTCAAAAAATACTGTATTGATTGTAAAGTACATGTGATATTTAGTACCACTAAAATCAGTCAGTTCTTTAGTACTAAAGATACTATCCCCAATGAATCCCGCTCCTCAGTAGTATATAAATTTAAATGTGCTGGATGTAATTCCAGTTATATAGGCTATACAGGCCGTATTTAATTGGTGAACATCTTGAAAAGGATAAAAATTCACACGTACTTAAACACCTTAACGCAAAGAGTAAATGTAAAAGGTTGTCTGATAAGAAATGTTTCTCTATATTGGATATTGATAACAATGAAATCAAATTGAAAATCAAAGAATCCCTTAACATAAAATGGAACAATCCTGATCTTAATTTTCAAATTAAACATGTTAACTTAAAGCTTATTTAAATATACACGTAAGCAATAGTTATTATGCAAGCACTTGTTACCTTGCATTTAACTATAGCTTCACAACCTTTTGTCAAACAAATCAATGTACCTGATTATATATTCTACATAATAATTAGCTACACTTGGTCCACATTACATACTTACTATTGCTTTACTAACCTTTGGTTAACAAATCATGGTATTCAATTATATATTCAGAATAATAATTAGCTACATTTAGTCCAGATTTAAGACTTACTATAGTTGGTCAAACTTATTGTCAAACAAATCAATCTATCTATTTAATATTCAGCATAATAATTACCTATATATATATATTCCACATGAAAATTATTTGGTTCATTTCTGTTGTGTTTTTTTTGTTTGTTAACTGATGATGGGTTGAAGGTAACCCGAAACATGTCTTCCATCAAATCTTTGTGTTATTTTTAAAATGCGTTGTATTTTTTGTCAACTTACGTCCATTTGGTTCTATTATCAGGGATTTCAGTTCAAGAAGATTACCAGTTTCTTTATTAAGAAAATATGAAAGATTACTCTTCGTTTGAACAAAGCCGAATTGGATTTTAATTTTTTACATAATTGCAAGGCATTCGGAGTTTTCCTAAATTTATATATAGAGTATATATATAGAGTATATATATATATATATATATATATATATATATATATATAGACCTAGATACTACGATAGAAAAATCAACAAAATTTGCAACTACAAGATGGAATTTGCACTAAGATGGTAGATGACTTATTCTGGCATCAAAAAGAAGAAAAAAAAAAATTTTAATCCACCAATATCACTTTTTAAGTCAGTGGATCTTGTTCATGATTGTAACTTTGACAAATACAAATCACCATAAAAATCATTCCTTTCCAGTGCAATAAGACTGTTCAACAATAATCACCAAAGATAAATCTATTTCATGCTTTTTTTGTAATTTTTATAGTTTTGTGAGTCTGAAAAACATAATATCATAAGGCCTATATTTGCATGTATGATGAAATGAAGCTTATTATTAATACCATTACCAATATATG